GGGAAGGCGGCGGGGCCTCTGGGGCCGCGGATGGTCCACCTCCTCCTCCTCCTCCTCCTCCTCCTCCTCCTCCTCCTCGTCCTCCTCCTCCTCCTCCTCCTCCTCCTCCTCCTCCTCCTTTGGGTGTCTCGGAAGCCAGCGGGTCCTGAGGGAAGCGGGCCTTGGGTCGTGATGTTCCAACCTACTTCAGCCTTGATCACCAGAGAGAATTTCGAGCACCAGGAAAACACGCCACAAATCGAGGGTTTTCACGTGTCGGGCACTGGGAGACACTCTTTCGACTTTCTTTCGACACTCTTCTGGGTGCTCGAAATTCTTTCTGGGATGTGGTCCTTCAGTAAGATAGGAACAACATAAGTCTTGGGCTCTATCGCCGTTGTCAGGATTCCCGAGCCCTCCATGGGCCCGGGAGCCGTCGGAGAGAACAGAGAAAGGATTAGCCCCGGGGGAAAGGGCCCGATTCTCGGGTGCGGCCAGGAGGGAAGGGATGATTCGCGGAAGGGGAAGATCATGGCCGGAGCCATGACACCTCCCCGCCTGGATTGCATGGCCCTCGCTTTTTATGTTTTTTCTTCTTACTCTGACATTGTTATTGTTGTTTCAATAATAATAAAGCCAACTATTATTCTTATTCCCCATATCCTAAGATGGGGTTCTTGTTATTACTTGGACGCCTCCTACACCTTCTCCTCCCTCCTCCTTCCTCCTCCCCTCCTCCTCTTTCCTCATACTCAGACCTACTCATACTCAGACTTACTCATGCTCAGACTTACTCATACTCAGACCTACTCATACTCAGACTTACTCACACTCAGACATATTCATACACAGACTTACTCATGCACAGACTTACTCACACCCAGACGTACTCATGCACAGACTTACTCATACCCAGACTTACACATACACAGTATTACTCATACTCAGACTTACTCATACCCAGACGTACACATAAACAGACTTTCTCACGCTTGGAGAGCAGATTGTGAGGATGTCTCAGGCGGGACGCTGGTTTCAGCACCCCTAAAGGGAGCCGCCAGGCAGGGGTGTTTGCACGGGCTCGTTCGCGGCCATTTTGTGGGGATGTCTCAGGCGGTTTGCTTGTTTCTGGGCCCAACATCCTTCGCTTTCGGAGCAGATTTGGAGGATGTCTCGAGCGAGGCGCTCATTTCAGCACCCCTAAGGGGAGCCGCCAGGGGTGTTTGCACGGGCTCGTTCGCGGCCATTTTGTGGGGATGTCTCAGGCGGTTTGCTTGTTTCTGGGCCCAACATCCTTCGCTTTTGGAGCAGATTTGGAGGATGTCTCGAGCGAGGCGCTCATTTCAGCACCTCTAAGGGGAGCCGCCAGGGGTGTTTGCACGGGCTCGTTCGCGGCCATTTTGTGGGGATGTCTCAGGCGGTTTGCTTATTTCTGGGCCCAACATCCTTCGCTTTCGGAGCAGATTTGGAGGATGTCTCGAGCGAGGCGCTCATTTCAGCACCCCTCAGGGGAGCCGCCAGGGGTGGTTGCACGGGCTCGTTCGCGGCCATTTTGTGGGGATGTCTCAGGCGGTTTGCCTGTTTCTGTGCCCAACATCCTTCGCTTTCGGAGCAGATTTGGAGGATGTCTCGAGCGAGGCGATCATTTCAGCACCCCTAAGGGGAGCCGCCAGGGGTGGTTGCACGGGCTCGTTCGCGGCCATTTTGTGGGGATGTCTCAGGCGGTTTGCTTGTTTCTGGGCCCAACATCCTTCGCTTTCGGAGCAGATTTGGAGGATGTCTCGAGCGAGACGCTCATTTTCACCCCCCCAGGTGGGCCAGATTTTGAGGATGTCTCGATCGGTTTGCTTGTTTTGGTGGCCAGGCTCGTGGGCGCAGATTCTTCTCAGGATGCCACAGGAGGCCCCAACAGGCTCCAGGAGGCCCCAGGAGACCACATGAGGTCCCAGGAGGCATCAGGAGGCCACAGAAAGATTCAAGAGGCCACAGGATGTCCCAAGAGGCTCCAGGAGGCCCCAGGAAGCTCCAGAAGGCCTCGGGAAACCACAGGAGGCCCCAGGAGGCAACAGGAAGCGCCAGGAGGCCTCGGGAGGCAACAGGAGGCCCCGAGAGGCCCCAGGAGCAGGAGGCCTCAGAAGGCAACAGGAGTGGCTCCAATCCATGTGTGTTACGTATGCTCCTATCGATTGGGCCTCACCTGGAGCACGATTCTTTGATGTTCTACGTATGTTTCTATAGATGGTCCTTCTCCTGTGTACACAATCCTAAATGTTTACTCATGTTCCTATGTATTGGGCCTCTCCTGGGGCACGAGTCCTTGGTGTTTTACGCGTGTTCCTATAGATTGCCCTTCTCCTGTGGCTCTATCCGCAATGTTTTATGTACGTCTGTTGCTATAGATTGCGCCTCTCCTGGGGCACGAAACCTTCCTAGGAGGTCCCAGGAGGTCCCAAGAGGCTCCTGGAGACCCCAGGAAGCCCCAGTAGGTTCCAGGAGGCCCCAGGAGGCCCCAGGCTCATGC